TTTGAATGAACTTGATTAGTGGAATATGCATACCAAATACGAAGTCTCTATCTCTCACGGTTCTAAAGTTATGATGAAGGTTCAGAAAAGCTATTTTTAGCATTAAGGTGACAGTCAAGGTCACAAGGTCATTGGCCTTGGTGTCATTTGAAAGAACTTAATGAGTGAAGTACGCATACCAAATACAACGTCTCTATCTTTCATGGTTCAAAAGTTATGGTGAAGGTTAAAGTTTGCAGACAAATAGACGAACAGACAGACAGACGGGACAAAAACAATATACTTTACCAAAGAATGGGTTAGACTTCTAGGATGGGTCATTTTTGCGTATATTTTTTCATATGTAATGGTAGTGCAATGAGATATATATTTTGAGAGAGAGAGCGAGAGTCAAGAAGTTAATCGAGTAGCTACATATATATATTAAAAATGCAGGTTTAAATTATTTTCCTCGATATACTGTGACTTAAAACTAATGACACAATGCTTTATTTGGTAATAAAGTATTGTTTAAATAATTTATTTTTTACATATGGTAGTTTTTTTGTTGTTGCAATTTTGAATCATTTCGGTCTGTTATTTAGTAGCCAAAATTTGATTTGAAACAAATGAAATGTCTTGTATGTAGCATCAACATTTTGATTATGGGACACATTTTAATTTCATGAAAAATATTTTTGCACGATGTCTAGTTGCCTACAGTATATCATTAAAATTGCTATGCAAAGTGTATTAGCCATTGTGCTTTTTATTGTTCCAAACTTTCTCCTGCAAAATGGCGATCGTGATATACAAAAGAAAAATTTTCTCTAAAAGGTTGCCAATCAGTTCCTATCTTATAGAAAAACTGTGCATGATATAAACGTAAAATGTGAAGTGTTTTAGCTAAATCAAACCAGGAAATACCTGGCGTAAACTTAGTCTTCTACGTAGCTGTATCTATATTTAGACATAACGCGGGTGTTTAAATGTCCTTCTCGATATGTAGAGAAAATCGCGAGTTTCTGCAACACTCTCTTTTTTACGGGTGTTGCTAAAACGCGGAACGGAAAGCGGAACGGAACGGAAAACAGAATATATTATTTTGGATTAAATCACGTAAAATACAAAAAATTTATCACAAACAATACATCTTATACAAATTCAACTCCCCACTATTAAATACAAGTTGATTTAGTCATGCTCAGTCTCTTAATTACGAAAATCGCTGACATGGCAGTGACGTAGATTCGAATTTGAAAGGGGGGGCTTACTTGATAAGCATTTCACAAGCAAATTTAAAAAAAAAATCAAAAACAAAAAGAAGACAGTTGTTTGACTCGGTAGGGGAGGGTAAGTTCCAAATCCATCTTTCAGTACTATTTTTTACACAAACTTACTACATCAATTACATTATAACAAAAAGTGTGCGGATGTCAATGAACATTTCTTTAGTAAAAATGGTTATGACCGGAAAAAATTGGGGGGGGGGTATTTAATATAAAGTTGAACTATTGAAAGAGAAATAAAATTTAAAAAAATATAATTATCAAGATTACGTTTAGGGCAACCCCTTCCGCCAAGCTCGAATAAACACCTCTTATGTAATACTGGTTGTTGAAATTTTATACAAAATAGAGTCGCTTTCTATATATTTAAATTCTGGATAGATAAAGTTGGAATACTTTCCTTTGGTAGGTTAAGGGTAGCAATGTTTACATTCAATGAAGTTAAAGTTTATTTGCATGCAGTACATGTGTGTGTGTGTTTGTTTTTATTTTCGGGGGGGGGGGGGGGGGGGGTAAATGAATGACCCCGTTATACATTTGATTTGTTTTTCCGTTCATCGGACTAAGAAATTGCAAAAGCCCCCTCCCTTTTGTGTCCAAAATGTACATAAGATTTTATAAATATATTTTTTAATATGTTGTGGGCCCCTACCCAGACCCCAAACTGTCCCTCCCCATTTCAAGATTCCAGGATTCGCCACTGCTTGCATAATCTGAACGTCAAAAATAGCTATTTTTGTCTTTGCAAACACAAGCGTCTAAAGCAAATTGAAAGGGGGAGGCTAAGTGGAAGAAAAAAAAATTCCAACGTACAAGAAAACTTGACAAGCAAAAAAAGGAAAAAGGGAAATACGTCCTTTGCCCAAACACGAAAATCCTAGGGAGGGATCGCGTTTTCTTTCAGTACCAAATATTTTCCAAACACTATCACTGAACCTTCCTTGATCTAATCTGCGACGTGCCTGTTGAAAGTATGTGTGTGTGTGTGTGTGGGGGGGGGGGGGGGGGGGCGGTTACGCTCCAATGTTCATTGCCTATATTATGGTTACCTTCTCAAAAAAGGGGGTTCCCCGGTTCCGACGCTTTTGACAAATATTTATGAATGTACATACTAGTAGTCTTTTTTTCCTTCTGCCTACTTCAAGAAATATCTTTTTTGAATGAATGAGCTTTCTTTAAAAAAAACAAAAACAATTTGTATGAAATGCTCAGATGAATACTAGTACTTGGGACTCTGAGTCTAGTCAGTACGTATTATATAGACCATGATCACTTCTACACAAGTTCTGAGCGGAGGGTGTGTATAATTCATAATTGTATTATAGTTTACAATAAATGTTTATTAGATATGACTTTTACATAAAAAAATATTGCTTTTATATCTGATTTAAAAGCTGATTTGTTTCACATAATTTTTCCGTTTTCCGTTCCGTTTTCCGTTCCGCGTTTTAGCAACACCCCTTTTTTACCGCACGTTTTTGCCTTCCAGACCCTTGAGAGATCTTGAAATCAGACATTGCACTTTGGAATGTTCATTTTTAAAATATTACCGACTAGTGTACGCCGACACTTTTTATAAATATTACCTTTTTATGCCCCCGGATCGAAAGATCCCGGGAGTATATTGTTTTTGTCCAGTCTTTCTGTCTGTTTGTCTGTCTGTCTGTTGTCAACTTTAACCTAGCCCGTAACTTTTGCGCTATCAAAGGTAAGGATTTAATATTTGATATGACTGTTTATTATAACAAAACCTTTCCATTGCTACAGAAATTTTTTATCATGTGACCTTTGACCTCATTTGAATTGCCTAAACATCTTAAAAGTGTATACCGCTTCAGTCTACGTCACACTCCAGAATTGTGTTACCAACGGGGGCATTATGTTTTACAAAAACACACCCTGTTTGCTACTAATTTTCTGTTAATTATTGAAACCTGTAAAAATGTGAGGAAAAAATAGAACATACTTAGACCAGGAATTGAAAATTCACATGTTAGTATTCTACACTTTAAGTTTTCTGTAAGAAAAATGTATTACAGCATGAACACATTCAAACAATGCAGTCTCTCAAATCATCAATGTATATGAATTTTTTTTTTGAATCAAATTTTGGCAATAAAATGAATCACAATTTATTAATTTCCTTACAAAGATCATTAATTTTAGACGTAGCAGTGATATTTTTTTATGGGTAAAAAATTCTCGAGAAGGACGTTAAACAATATACAGTCAATCAAAATTTTATTACAAATAAGTTAAAACAGATTCCAATACGATATTTTGTATTACCTTAATAATTGATTAGAAATTTTGAAGACAGAGTGTTCATCAACGTTTACGATTTTGATTGCCTATTTTAAAATTAGGAAAAATATATTGTGAAAGTGTAAAGATGTGATTTGATTTGCATTGGTAACAGTTAAGGTACATGTATTTCAATTTTGAATGAAAATGAGATACAGGGTTTAAAAAAAATTCAACGTGATCTGTTCTCTTTGGCACGAATGTCTCTTCCACTTTGAGAATCCCCAGTGGTTTTAATTTCGTATTATATAAATAACACACAATCGGTTACCTTACTAATTAAAGATTTTCATGAGGTCTGACTTGCAATGTATAATTTAACGCTATTTATTAAACTCTTATCCCTTAGTAAAAATACAATTGATTTTCATAAACCAATATTCTTGAAGAAAATAATTACAAGACTGGAACATTCAGATAAAAACTCACTATTTTTTGGAGAAAAGCAATATATTCTCTCACGAATGTCTTCCACTTTGGGATTCACTAATGATTTTTAACTCGTATATATGAGTAAGAATCGGTTATCGTTACTAATTGAAAATTTTCATGTTTGACTTCCAATGTATAATTTAGGGCTATTAATTCCTTAGTTAAAAATATTGATTTTAATAAAAACAAAATTCTTGAAGAAAATAATTTATCAGCCTGGAACATTCACGATAAAACATCACTGTTATGGAAGAAAAGTGAATAATAGCCATATTTATTGAGAGTTATCTCACATTGTGGTAAAGGGTTATTGAACTTATATTGGTGAATATTCGCACAAGTTGCAATTGGCTGTACAAATGCACTCGCAAGCTCGAGTTTTTATTAATAATAATCTTCCTAATAGAAGAGGAGAAAAATTTTGTACACAATCTTTTTAAATTCATTCAATGTTAGCAACATAGTTAATAAATGCCGTTGCAATGATGTAGATAAGAAATAAATCTGCAAATGTTAAGGAACCGCTTCATTATCTATCCATGTTAATGAAAAGCCATATTGAGATATACTTAAGTACTTCACTTTCTTTATTGGGTACCATAAAAGTATATTTTGTCTTCTGTCATTGGAAAAATAAATCTACATAAGGAAAATGATCTACCAACACATGAAACTGTGCATTTATGGAGCCAACAGTGTTTAATTGCATTCGGGTGAGGGGACATTTGCAGTGCTTCTTCTTGGTGCAACGTATTACAGCGCATGTATCGTTAACTTAAGTCTCAACAATTGAAAACAACCTGACTGTTTACAACTTTACATGACAAGAAAAAAGGAATCTGTGGGGAAAAAATCATTTATGGGAATAATGCATTTGATAATTAAAACCGGTGTTAAATGCAACTACAAAGATAAAAAAAAAAACAATGGATCGCTAAACCTTTAAGCGATCGATACGGATATTCGATCGATATGGATACATAAAAAAATCAAGAGTTGTCATTCTTGAATTTATTGCAATAATAAGAAATACAGTGATTGATTTTCCAGTGAAAGGTGGATTTCATATTTCATGAGATGGTTAGCCTATTAGGTCCGAGCCGTCATTCATCCTGAAAAAGATTTAATACCTCCTCTTAAAGACTTGAAAAAGGTAGACTTCAAACTATGATGAACTATTAAATCATAAAACGCCACGGGAAAAAATGGAAAGTACACAAACAACGAAGAATACCCATAGGCATTTAATTAGGGTAAATATTCAACCCATTGAAATTTTTATATCTTCTTCCCATACTAAATCACCTCTAAGGTGTGGATATAAAAAATATGTGTGAACAAATAAACAATTTAATTATAGGGTGTAAAAGTACTGACAAAATTCCTCCAAAAGATTATACATCAGATTTTTTGCCCGGAAATATGTTTCATGATTTTTTTAAAAAATCACCTTAACATGTTTCACCCATCTTACTGTTTAAAATGGTTAGGGCCTGTTTTTTTTCAATTTTTAAGAACACAACTCACGCTCTTTCACATATGTAGCCATGAAGTTCCGGGCAGTAGTCGTCACACCACTGGTAATTCAGATCCTTTCTCATTGCCAAACAGTGTTGTTTACCTAACGAAATAAAAACAATCTAATATTCATAATCTCCTACGTTTTTCCTCTAAAATTTTAATACATTTTTATCTTTCTTTAAATAGAAACTAAAATGTTCAATGTGTTGGTACCAAATGAAAAAAAAATAGTTCAACGCGCGCAATCAACGCTTAACAAGTCCAATTTTCTTTTACTCTATTTTCTTATATTAAAGATAAGGTTGAAACAAACTCTTTTCAAAATTTATTTTTCTTTTTTTAAAAAGTTTAGGAAACCAAATTGATGCTCTAAAATAAAGATATCATTGCACTGCAATACATCTCATTGTGATTGCTTAACGTAGTGTCTACTTAAAACATACATGGTCTATTTTTATCAAATTTACCATTAAAAGAAATAAGACTTTTCCTGTTTGACAGATGAGTGAACAGGTTGACACTCAATCAAACAAAGCGCCCAGTTAATTGCTCTGTAGCACAATCTAAGGCGCTTTAATTTCTGTACTGCCTCGCCAGATAGCAGTACTTGTTAAGTGAGATCAACTCACAATACATGTAAGACTAAACTTAACATTGCTAATAAGTGAGTGACTCTCTAGTCTTATATAGTATACAAGCCTGTCATTCTTTAGTTTTGCCTGAACATTTGCATAATCGTTTTGTCTACGTTGTTCAAAGGGGCATAATTTGATTATCGAACTTTGTAAGAAACTTACATTATGCAAAGTTTGCAACTCAGAATTAGCTGCAAGAGAAAATTGTATTTAAAGGGCAACTTTGGAGGGTGGATGGTGGGGAATGTATCTAAAGCATTGACTAGTAAAATGTTTGTGCTTGTTGAAAAACAAGTAAAACTGCACCATACTGCACTCTGCTGCAATGCAGTGCAACACATTGTGATGCCTAGCAAGTTATCCAATCAAAATAAACTTAGTCAATTCGTTGAAATACAATTAAAAATATGATTATCAACCTTCCTTTCTTAGTGTTTTGAAAGGAAATTAAGAACAGACTGAATGAAATATTAAATTTAAATTTAACTATTATATATGAATACTTCTCTTTCACGCAAATCAAGGAATACTGTCGAAGGACTCTTTCGACAAAGTTATGTATTGATAATTTTTCTTATCGAACGACTAGTTTGGGTATGCGCAAAAAAAAATTCCTTCAATTTTCTTTTTAATTAGTGCCTTGAATATCTTTTTAATAAAATCAAACTAGATGAAATATTCATTAAGGAGGGCTCCTTCGAGAAAGCTATGTGTTGATAATTTTTTTTATCGAACGACTAGTTTGGGTATGCGTAATTCAATTACTGCCCTGAATATGTTTTTAAACAAATCAAATTGCATGAAATATTTATTCACATTTAATTAATATTTGACTCTTCTCTTTCATACAGATCTCAATTAACACTCCAGCACATACGTGCATGTGGAAGGACTGCTTTGATAAAGCTTAGTATTGATAATTTTTTATCGAACGACTAGTTTGGGTATGTATGCACAAAAATAATTCCTTAAATTTTCTTTTAAATTAGTGCTTTGAATATCTTTTTTAAACAAACTAGATGAAATACTTTTTATTTGAATTGATGTCATTTTAAAATATGTGACTGTTCTCTTTCACACAAATCTCAATTAACAGTCTCCAGCACTTATGTGTATATGTCGGAGGACTTTTTCGACAAAACTGCGTATTGATAATTTTTTATCGAGCGACTAGTTTGGGTAATTGTAAAATAAACTGAAGAAATAAACTCCTCTGTGACTATTGAGTCATTTAATTTTTATTTGCACGCATATAAATGCTTCTTATCTTAGTGGGAATTTACCTACACTTATATTGCAATGTACAAATTGTAATGCCAATCAAAGGTTAACAAGTCCAATTTTCTTTTACTCTATTTTCTTATATTAAAGATAAAGTTGAAACAAACTCTTTTCAAAATTTATTTTTCTTTTTTTAAAAAGTTTAGGAAACCAAATTGATGCTCTAAAATAAAAAGATATCATTGCACTGCAATACATCTCATTGTGATTGCTTAACGTAGTGTCTACTTAAAACATACATGGTCTATTTTTATCAAATTTAACATTAAAAGAAATACGACTTTTCCTGTTTGACAGATGAGTGAACAGGTTGACACTCAATCAAACAAAGCGCCCAGTAAATTTCTCTGTAGCACAATCTAAGGCGCTTTAATTTCTGTACTGCCTCGCCAGATAGCAGTACTTGTTAAGTGAGATCAACTCACAATACATGTAAGACTAAACTTAACATTGCTGATAAGTGAGTGACTCTCTAGTCTTATATAGTATACAAGCCTGTCATTCTTTAGTTTTGCCTGAACATTTGCATAATCGTTTTGTCTACGTTGTTCAAAGGGGCATAATTTGATTATCGAACTTTGTAAGAAACTTACATTATGCAAAGTTTGCAACTCAGAATTAGCTGCAAGAGAAAATTGTATTTAAAAGGCAACTTTGGAGGGTGGATGGTGGGGAATGTATCTAAAGCATTGACTAGTAAAATGTTTGTGCTTGTTGAAAAACAAGTAAAACTGCACCATACTGCACTCTGCTGCAATGCAGTGCAACACATTGTGATGCCTAGCAAGTTATCCAATCAAAATAAACTTAGTCAATTCGTTGAAATACAATTAAAAATATGATTATCAACCTTCCTTTCTTAGTGTTTTGAAAGGAAATTAAGAACAGACTGAATGAAATATTTAATTTAAATTTAACTATTATATATGAATACTTCTCTTTCACGCAAATCAAGGAATACTGTCGAAGGACTCTTTCAACAAAGTTATGTATTGATAATTTTTCTTATCGAACGACTAGTTTGGGTATGCGCAAAAAAAAAATTCCTTCAATTTTCTTTTTAATTAGTGCCTTGAATATCTTTTTAATAAAATCAAACTAGATGAAATATTCATTAAGGAGGGCTCCTTCGAGAAAGCTATGTGTTGATAATTTTTTTTATCTAACGACTAGTTTGGGTATGCGTAATTCAATTACTGCCCTGAATATGTTTTTAAACAAATCAAATTGCATGAAATATTTATTCACATTTAATTAATATTTGACTCTTCCCTTTCATAAAAATCTCAATTAACACTCCAGCACATACGTGTTTGTGGAAGGACTCCTTCGATAAAGGTTAGTATTGATAATTTTTTATCGAATGACTAGTTTGGGTATGCGCAAAAATAATACCTTAAATTTTCTTTTAAATTAGTGCTTTGAATATCTTTTTTAAACAAACTAGATGAAATACTTTTTATTTGAATTGATGTCATTTTAAAATATGTGACTGTTCTCTTTCACACAAATCTCAATTAACAGTCTCCAGCACTTATGTGTATATGTCGGAGGACTTTTTCGACAAAACTGCGTATTGATAATTTTTTATCGAGCGACTAGTTTGGGTAATTGTAAAATAAACTGAAGAAATAAACTCCTCTGTGACCATTGAGTCATTTAATTTTTATTTGCACGCATATAAATGCTTCTTATCTTAGTAGGAATTTACCTACACTTATATTGCACTGTACAAATTGTAATGCCAATCAAAGGTTAACAAGTCCAATTTTCTTTTACTCTATTTTCTTATATTAAAGATAACCCAAGTCAAAGTGGAAGGCAGTTCTTTAGCAGTTTTTTAACCTTAACAGTTCAGTGCTTTAGCAGTTCTTAGACAGTTTACTAGCCTTCTTCTCTCCTTAGGCAGTTTTCCTTAGCAGTCCACAGTTTAAGCAGTACTTAGCCAGTTCATTAGCAGTAACTTAGCAGTTGCTTAGCAGTTTCCTTAGCAGTATCTTAGCAGTCAATAGGAAGGTTAAGGAGAACTGCTTAAAAACTGCTTAATAACTGCTAAGGTGTTTCTTTTGTTTGCTCTACTTATATGGAAATGACTCTGAGTGACCTACATATAAATTTGAAAATTTATTAACTGCTTAAAAACTGCATGGTAAAAAGAATGCTATAAGCACTATTCTTGTCTACTTTTAAGAACATAACACCACCCATATACATGATATATGAATACAAAAATGCATATTATTTTTGCTTCCAGGGTATATTATTGAAAAAATGACATCACATATGGGAATTTGACTTAGTATTGAGATTTAGATCTAAGGTATGAATTGTAAATGAGCTAGTCCTTTCATTAAGTCCATTTTCTTGCATAAACGTCAGTGGCATATTTAGAGCTTGGTTAATTGATACATACAGTGGACTAATCTACGGATCCCTCTATCAGTAGCTTATAAATTTATATGCAAATATTTTAATTTATATTAAGTACTTATAATTAAAATATACAAACTAGATTATACGTTTTATAATTTAATAGTTATCCAAATGAGAAGAGGGTATGCCTATATATTATATCACAAGCCCACACATGCACTTACCATATTTTCTGAAGCATACTTTAATTACTGCCAACAACTCTTTTAACAATTTTCCTATATCACCCAATTCCATTGTTTGATCAGATTTTTATAATAATGATCTCCCATCTCATGGAAATTAATTCAGATACACCTGTCACTATATAAATATTAAGTTCACATCCAGTCCAATGTGGTGATCACAGGTAATATTGTATTTTCCAAAGCATATTTTACTTCTTCACTGTATGGGTATAAATATATATAATATCCCAGACCATCACAAACATCCTCACAATTTGTAATTTTGAACTGATGTGGAAAAGGCGCACAAATCTTGACTGGCTTTCCTCATTGGATAC